GAACTAGTGAGTATCTCAAAAAGGAGTGTTCCTCGTTGATTAAGAAGAGCTCATTTTCCACTTTATAAAGAATGAGAAATTGACATTTATATGTAAAAATAGCACGGACTAGCCAGTTTTTGGACTGGTCATTCAAAAATAGTCAGCGTTTGCAAAGTCATTGAAAAATAGTCACTATTTTGCTGCAACACGAAAAGTTCCAGCATAATATACTGGAGATCAGTGCACATGTGTATGAACTTCCAGCATATTATGCTGGAACTTCAACACGCGGAAAGTTCCAGTATATTATACTAGACTGGTATATTTATGCCGGAACTCCAGTATTAGTATATTATAATGGAGTATTTTTCCGAATTTTGAACAGTATTTTTGTTCAGATTTATCTTTACATGAAAAATAGCTAAATTTCAATTACTTTTAAAACTGTGACTATTTTTGAAAGACCACTTATAAATTTAAATATTTTTGAATTTCTCCCCGTTTATATGCTAGCCGGGTAAAAGATTGACACAAAAAAGAGCCCTTTCTCCTTGTTAGCACACTAACCCATATGTCTTAAAATTGGCAGCTTATAGCCAAAGCTCAATCACCCGTCATCTTCTGCCTTCTTCAATTGTCGATATGGTGTTGAACGTTTCCCCAAAAACATTGAAACCATGGCTGTGAAATCTGAAGGTTAAAAACGTGAATATAACATTGAATACATTGTTTGAGTTTGAAGAAAGACCCAAAAATACCATTGAAGCTTAGTTCAAATTTTTTCAATTTGTCTAATTATAATTTGTTTCGATTCGGTGATACTGGGTTTTATTGAAAACATCTTAAGGAGCTTGAAATTCAAGTCATGAAATTGTTTGGAGAAGATTGGAGGTAGATTTGAGCTAATTTTCATATTGAAAAATTCAAGGTTGACGATGACTTCATGTGTGCCTATTTTCCTGTACAACCCTGTGTATCAGTTTATATTCCTCTACTCCCTCCGTTTCTATTTTCCTTTTTAGTCTGTTCTAAAACAAATGACACATTTTTAAATTTGGAAATAATTCAACTTTAAACTCTTTTATTTGACCCATTTACCCAAGCTTTTATAGCCACACAAATGTCATGGTCCCACAAACTTTTTACCCCTTAAGCTTTTAAGACCACAAGTTTCAAAAGTCTTCTTATTTTTTCTTATACTCTGTGTCGAGTCAAACTACCTCATTTAATACGAAACGGATGAAGTATATATTTATTTCCTGTATACTAATTTTAGAGTACGAGCGTTACACGGGTATATCATATAAATGAATATAAATATTTTAAAAATTACAATTAAAATATATTTATGTTATAAAATTAAAATTTAAAAAAAAAATATAACTACGAGTTTGTTATAGATTCGATCTTATGAGATAAACACAGTCCAAACCGTTATATCAAATCCTTAGTCGAGCAAGCGTTATTGGAATTTAAATACTTTTTGGTAACTTTTTCCTAAAAATGTTGTGATAGATTTTTAGATAAATTATTTTTTTCTTGGAAAATGAAATGAAAGATGTTTTCTTAAAACGCAAAACAATAAAAAGCTAGGTTCTCAGGCTACTCCTACCACAAAGCACTCTCACAAACGTTTCTAAAATATACTCTTTGTTGGTACCAATCGAAATACTAACATTTCATGTTAGGTAAAATTTACTATAATTAATGTGTCGTTTAATTTAGCAAACTACCAAACGGAGAAAGAGAAAAACTTCAATTTCAACGGAATTATTACACATTTAAGCCTTAAAAAATAAGGAAGGACTATGAATTTATATATACCTACAAGGATTCATGTTAACGAAGAAAGACAAAAACTACAAGTTAAAAGAAATATTATACATTCAAAATTCTAAAAAGGAAGAGCTGCGGATTATATATCTTGTAGGATTCAATTACAGCGGTAATAAATTCCCTTAAGTAACCAGAAAGATTTTTTAAACAAAAACTGTAAGGAATTGTAATTTTGTTACATAATTTAATTTAGGAAAAGGATTTATTCAAGGTAAAAACTTAATGAATTTTAAAGTTTTAAGTATTAGTAATTTCTACCTAGTTCAAATAAGGAAATATTTAATAAGTAAAATTTTAGTTGATTTCAAATTTCTATATATTAGAAAAATAAGTTATTTACGATTTTATCCAATGTGAAACTTATTTTTAAAGGTTTAAAAAGGCGAACGACATTTCGCTAAGGGCCTTCATGCTTTTAATATGATATAGATTATGTGTATATGTGTATATTCATGAAAATGTGTGTGATATATAGGGATATAGGAAGAAATTCAAAAATAGCCAGATTTACAAGTGGTCATTGGAAAATAGTCACAGTTTCAAAAGTAATCGAAATTTAGCCACTTTTTATATAAAGATAAATCTGAACGAAAATACTGTTCAAAATTCGAAAAATATTCCAGCATAATATACTGGAATACCAGTATAATATTCTGCTACACCAGTACTCCAGTATATTATACCGGAAGTCCAGTATATTGCAGCAAAATAGTAGCTATTTTTCAATGACTTTACAAACGTTGGCTATTTTTCAATTATCAATTCGAAAACTGGCTAGCCCGTGCTATTTTTACAATGATATACATAATATACAACATGATATACACATATCACAAAAACCTTTTCTACGTCCAGAGTATAACTCCAAAGATGAATAATGTAATTTAGGTGAAAAATAAGAAATAGCCAGATTTGCAACTATTAATTTAAAAATAGTACAGTTTTAAATGTAATCGAAATTTAGCCACTTTTATATATATAGATAAATATGAACAAAAACACCTTTAAATCCAAAAAAATTCAGCATAATAGTCTAGAGTTCAAATTTTTTACGTATGAGATTCCAGCATAATGTGCTAGGATTTCATAATATGTTGTAATTTTACACCCAGGAGCTCCATAATCTAGCATATTATGCTGAAACTTTCCGTGTATTGTAGTTCCAACATAATATGATATAAGTTTCTATGCAGAAACTCCATAAAAAAAAAGGAGGGCAGTCTGGTGCACTAAGCTACTGCTATGCGCGAGGTCTGGGGAAGGGCCGGACGACAAGGGTCCATCGTGCGCAGCCTTACTTTGCATTTTTACAAGAGGATGTTTCCACGGGTCGAATTTCTGACCAGCATAAACTCCATAATCCGGCATATTATGCTGGAACTTCACATGTTTCAGCAAAATAATAGCTATTTTTTAATTACCAGTCCGACAACTGGATAACCCGTCTATACCCTAAGCTCGTATTAACCCCATTGAGAATTCATATATGAACTTCAATACTAGCTTACGACTGCCAAAACGTACTTGTCAAATATTTGATACTATGTGGAAAAAATCTAAATACCTAACTCAAAATCTTAATAATAGAGTGACCCAAGATCTTTGTAAACACTCGGAACCCTTACTTAATCCGTGTGAATTAACAACAATATAACTCAACAACTTGGACTGTCTATTAAAGGAAGCCAATAAGCGTGTACCAATGATATCACACATCTTGGAAAAGTCTTAAATTTTTGAAAGAGATTTTCCATCCAGTTAGTAATATGGGACATATAGAATGTCAAGAATGGTAAGTAAAACATTGTCCTTCCTTTTCAAGTATACAAATGACTCCAGCCATTTCTGTTAGGTCCAGCCTATGACAAAGATGCAAATGGTCCAATGTAACCTCATCAAACGCCTTAAATTCTGCTTCTTCTTTAATGCATTGGGGTACGAACTTTTAATTTGTTGCAATATTCAACTCTATCACCATCCATCTGTCATTTCTAGAATTTTTCTCATTTATAGTACCAAGGTCTAAATCACATCCTTGAGTTGTGGCACTCTCGTGGACCTTATATGACGATAGAATACTATGGGTCGTTTGGTAGGATGTATTAGATAAATTAATGCATGCATTAGCTTTGTGTATTAATAATACATTATTTGGTAGATATTTTGAACCCATGCATTAGTTATATAGACATTAGTTATACATCCTATTTGGTATTATGATATGCATAACTAATGCATAAAAAATAATGGTATTAGCAATGCAATGGATTTTAATGCATGCATTAGCTTAGTTAAAGACAAAATTGTCCTTCAAAATTTATGTTTTATTAAAATATACTAGTTAGTATATTAATGCAAGGTCAAAATAATCCAAATAGTGAGAAATAAAATTATATCCCTAGTAAATAAATAAATACTTAGCATATTTCCTTTTTTATAAATAAATATTTAATTTTATTTAACAACATAGGTAGACAAATAAAATAATTTTTTTAAAACTTTTTCATATAAAAATATTTCTCAACATATGTTTCTTTTAAAAAGTTAGAGTGTAGACTAGATTTGAGGGCATTTTTGTAAACAAATGATTCTTTTAGAAATTGTGCAATACTTTAATACATCAAACCAAACAATGGATAAGAAATATGTCAGCATAAATAATAACAGCATAACTAATGCAAGCATAATTAATATCAACATTACTAATACACCATATTCAATGCACCCTACCAAACAACCGCTATGTGTCGGGCTGCATTTTTTATAATATGAAAGTCGTGTTATACATCAAGAGACTGCTTCATGTAGAACCCACACAAAATCTTTTTGAGATAATCCATTGGTCCTTGATTTTTTTTTTCTTTTCCTTTCATATTCTCTTTCGTAGGAGCATGACCACTTCACGAGTGGTGATGAAAAGTCAGAGTTGTGAATCTAATTTCATAATGTCGACAGAAAAAAAAAAAATCTTTCACAATGACATCCATCTTAATCTTATTTGAGTATTATTTAATTAGATTTAATTACTTCAATTAAATAACAAAATTGACAAATAATAATTTGTTTAAAACATTGTTCAAGAAAACTTATTCTACAAGAAAAAAGAGTAAAAAGAAGTTCAATGCTTGGATATTGCACAATAAAACTTGGATAATACCTTAAGGTTTACAAGATCTGTGCACTTAAATGCATCAAATGCACGAAAATAAGAAAAATGTGCTATATATTATGATTATTCCGTTTGCCTTTGGTTGAGGTTTCCTTGGTTCAAGTTCTTGCTTCTTGTCTGCATAGACTGATTATCGGCCTGCTGCATATATTGGGCTGCCAACTGGTTATTGAACTCCATGTTCATTGACTGTAGGAAATCACAATATAAACAAACTCAAAATTACCAAAAAATAAAAATAATATATATATTGGTTCAATGTTAGCTTTCTATAGTAGACCTAAGACGGAGGGATATTGGCCAAAGTGAAAATCTATCTTCAGCTTTTTATCTTTTAAGAAAATATTAATCATATAAATAACAAAACCAATTTTCTTTTTTCCAGAAGTAATATAATCTTGATGAAAACACTACTTGGAAAAAAAAAGTTAATTTAAATAACATTGTTGATTGGATGAAAAAAGGTCTGTCAAGAGAAGTGTAACTACATATATCAGATCATCTAAAAGATAACCTACAACCTTCAAGTAATATTCATATTAAATGAGATTAATAACCTGAAAGCTAAGACAAGTTACTTGCTACAACTGATTAAAATACATTGATCGAGTAAATTTTTTTTACGTTAACAGTATATAAGTACTGAAATTTGTCAAGAACATAGGATTAACTTACTTGCGCTAGAAATGCACTACGGGGGTCGTTAAAAGGGAATGAATTGGTGACACTGGAGGCAACTGCAGCTCTGCTTGCACTCGCATCGCCATTAGCTTGTGGCGGAGTAGGTATGGTCGGGGCCATGGCGAAGGCTGGTGACATGAAGGGAGGACAGGAAGTAGCAATTGAGGTTGGATAAATGAATGGAGCTGTAAGAGACTGATGAGGAGTTGTTGCAGCAGCTCGAGCTAAATTAGCAGTCATATTGTTAAGCATTCCTGGTGTCATGCCAAGATTGACACCCATGCCCATTCTTGCTAGTAAAGGCATCTGAATATGTGGTAATTGCATTCCTAGAGGTAATTGCATCATCATTTGAGACTCCATGTTTCTTGCACTGCTTATTAACTGAATTTGTGCTTGAAGCTGCTTTAAGTACTTTATGACTTCGTCCAGCATTGACGCTTTATCTGTCTGTATAATCAGTAATTATGTCAAAATTACATAAACTCAAAATTAAGCTACTAGTTTAACTGTAATATCAGATCACCTAAAAGATAACCATGTAAGTAACTATTCTCGTTACGTGATGAATTTGTGGAAAAATCTCATTTATTAGTGTGATATTACATATACTGTGGTAGCTAGCTAACTCACCTTACTTGCATTTGGCACCAACTTCTGCAGAGCTTTCATCTTTTCGTTGATTCTATCCCGGCGTCTCTAGATCCCAAAAAAAAAAACGAAATATATAATTATAATTGGTACGTTCATAAATAAGGCCTCTGCCAAATTTTAAATACTACTCCTTCCGTTCCAATTTATGTTTGACTAAGGACGTGTTTTAAGAAAAAATGAAGATTTTTGGAATTTATGGTCCTAAACAAGTCAAAAAGGGGCTCACAATATTTATGTGGTTATAAAAGTTTCTCAGTAGAATTGTAAGTTTAAGTTACATTGTTTTCAAATTTAAAAAGGAGTCATTCTTTTTGGAACGAACCAAAAAAGAAATAGGTTCACATAAAGTGGAAAAGAAGGAATATTTTCTATCATTTGTCCATAAATCCATCTTTTAAAGTTTTTGTATACCACCTAATTAAGGAAGACATAAATATATACTTAATTATAAGAGTATTTGTCTAAAATTCCCTTTGTTTCTATCTTAGACATTTCAGTTAGTCTTGAACTAATTGGTGCAGTAATAATGAATTTGAAAAAATAAAGTAGTAATAAATGCTTCTTTAGTTTTTTTCCTAAATGTCAAATATATATTTATAAATAAATTCACGTTACATAGACTGGAAATAGCTTTTCACTACCTTACTTTTTGATGTTATATTTAGGTATTCATCCCTAGTATAATTTAGGTGCATTAAATTCAACATACCCGTTCTGACTGATTATGAACAGCAGCTGTTCGGCTGCGTCTTAACGTGTTGGAGCCTTTTGTTTCACGTTCTTCCTCCTTGTTTTCCTGTCACAAAGTCATGATCCAATATGGACTCAGAGTTTGATGATATATATGTATATATTCTCGAGGTAGCTAGATATACCACTACAAAATATTCGAAAGTACTATATATGGTACAAGAACATAGCATTAATAATTCATCATAGTGACTACAAAATATACATTTTTTAGTACAAGGATTACGGGGGTTCAAATAATTAGAAGGATCTAAACATTTTTTGTATTGAGACGGATATAAATTTGAAATATATATCTGGGAACCATGTGAAGAGTTATTTGACTGATCACAGTTCTTTATACTTAACCATATCTAAAGAATGTTTTATGTCATTCTTTTGGAATCATACGAATGGAGTATAAGTTTACTTGTATGTATATAGAAGAACAAATTATATTTCATAGAAGCATGTAATGTTGTCATGTATAAAGGGGTTGTAGGTAGGTTTTAGTTACAATAGAAGGTAATCGTAGGTAAATCCTTATGATGAATATTAATCGCCAACTTAATAATAATGATAATAACTAACTTATTAATAAGTTAATTCTACATCAACAACAACAACAATCATCCAGTATAATCTCACAAGTGGGGTCTGGAGAGGGTAGGATGCACGCAGCCTTACCCCTACCCTGAAAGGGTAGAGAGACTGTTTCCGATAGCTAGACCCACAGCTAAAGAAGGTGAAGGAAGTCCTGATAGCAAGTACATAATAGCAAGACAAATTATTAGAAAACTAAATCGAAGATAGCAACAGAGAATGTGAAAGGGGTACCGATAAAAAGTAATAGCAAGATAATATATTTAGAAAACTAAATCCAAGGCAGCAAGCGAGAATATGAACGAAGTACTACTAGCAAACTACGGAATTACCGATGGCAAGTAATAAGAGAACAAGACATACGAAGCTTTAACCAAACTATAAAAGCTAAGTTTTTCTCAGAACTGATTATTGTATTATGTTATAATATATCTCCTCTATAACAGCACTAATTCATTACAACATCAAAAAAAAATCGGAACGAACAAGGTTATTATAAAGAAGTTTAATTGTAAAAGTAAAATCCAAAATAAAGGAGATTATAATTAATCCTAGCTAGCAGTACTAGTATTGTTGCACATATAGAAAATTACCAAGCCAGCAATATGACAGGCAGAATCCTCATTAAAAGTGACTTTGGATTTAAAGCTGCGAGAAGACTCATCAAGGGAATGATAATTAGGCCATGTCATAACAGTGTCCCTAACACTTGCAGAAGCACTAGGTTCAGCATTTTGATCAAAAATATTCTTATGAAATTCTCCTACTAATCTTCCACTAATCCCATATAATTGGGGGTCAGAATCTGATCTCATCCTCTTTTTTGCCATTCCACCTATCGTTTCTTGCTTCACAATATTCTCCTTATTGATGTTTGCCTTATTTTTATCACTTCCCTTTAGATCAAGATTTTGCATTTGACAATTAGTGGCTTGATGCACAACAGACTCTAATGTGTCACTGGCCCTTTCCCATGTGTGTTTTGCTTGCTCATTGGGGAGGTTGTTTCCAAGTCTGTGCATAGCTAGTTGCCCATTTTCCCATGTTAGCTCTGCAACTTCACATTTTGACCTGAAATTTTAAATGAATATGGAATCATCGAAGGGGAGCTTGGCGTAATTGGTAAAGTTGTTGTCATGTGATTAGAAGATCACGGGTTCGAGCCGTGTAAACATCCTCTTGCAGAAATGCAGAATAAGGCTATGTACGTTAGTCCCTTGTGGTCCGGCCCTTCCCCAAACCCCGTGCATAGCGGGAGTTTAGTGCACCGGGCAGCGGACTCATTAACGGGGTTATGATTTCTAGCAGCAGCACAAAAAAATCTTCTGGTTTTTCTTATTTACTGATCTTGAAACTTTGATTATTTGAACAAAGAGAATCAGATAAGTAGAAAGCAATAAAATAAGTTTCAAGAAAAATGTTACTATTAGCTATGTTGCTCGTACTCTCTAAAGATGTTGCAGGGTGCGTGTCAGATTCTTCAAAAATAGTGTATTTTTGGAGGAACCAACACGAGTGCGACAATATTTTGGAGAGTCCGCACGACATTAGAAATAGTATAAGAGAACATACATGGGGACAAGATGATTCTGAGGTTGCTGGTTATGCACGTGTGGGTATCTGTTTTCCTCTTCTGGTAATTCGACTGTTTGTTCTTGTCTTTGTTGCCTATGATTCCAATTATGACTCATTGTAATGCCTTTGACAGAGTCTAACTCTTCTCAGTGCCAGACTGCCACTCCTAATAATGAATACATTGGCTTACTCTCTCTTTTATACTAAATGTACTTAATGTCATTCTGGTCCCCTTTAGGAGTTGTCATATTCAGCTGACTATATACTGTATACACACCAAGTATACTGTAGCAAGTAGCAAGTAAACCCTGGATTTTCAAATGGATAAGTTTTGGCTTCTTCCTCTCTACTGTTCATATCTGTCAATCAGATTCCATCTGTTTTAAAAAAAGATTGATACTATTTCCTTATTAGTCTATCTCAAAAAGATTGACATCTTTCAATATTTCCTTTATAAGAAGTATTTTTAGTCACACAAATGCTATGATAGATTTCAGACCATAAGTTTCAAAAGTTTTACCGCCACACAAATGCTATAGTTTATTTAACACCACATATCCTAAAAGTCACTAGTACCAAGATCGAGTCCTAGACAAGCGGATATAATTTTAATAGCCGGAACAGTAACAATGAAAATGGCCCCCTCTTTAGTGAGATTCTGTGAGCAAATGCTTGAACCAAAATATGTTATTGCTATGGGAGCCTGTATTACAGGCGGGATGTTCAGTACCGATTCTTATAGTACTATTCGGGGAGTCGATAAGCCAATTCCTGTAGATGCATATTTGCCAGGTTGCCCACCTAAACCGGAAGTGGTTATAGATGCTATAACAACACTTCGTAAGAAAATATCTCGAGAACTCTATGAAGATCGAATTAGGTCTCAACGAGCGAATTGGTTTTTTACTACCAATCATAAGTTTCTTGTTCAACACAGTATTCATACGGGAAATTATGATCTTCCTTCTTTATTAAAGTTTATCCCAAGTCAAACTAAGGCAATCTTTTTAAAATGGAGGAAGTAGTAATTAGTATATTTCTTCTTTTCCTTGATAGACTCTGGTGGTAAATTAAGACTATTTGCCCACTTAAAGATCTGCAACATATGGAAGTATTTATATTGGGAAAAATCGAGTTAACATTTGGAACTAATTGTGTGCTGACATGTCAAGACACGTGGATCAATAAAAGAATGACAACTAGCAAAGAGTATTCAAAGAGACGCGAGCCTTAATAGGTACGGGCAAAGGTTCAAGAAAATAAGAAGGAACGGTTACTCGGATCTCTTGATAATTTGAAGAGACAGCGGAGGAATGAACCTAGTTAGCAAAAAGTACAGATACGTATTATCTGTAATTAATGAGCATCAATGATGGGAAACGTTATAGAATCTTCACGAAACAGTTACGATTACCAATTACAACGTTACATTAATGCCATTAATTACTCATAATGGCTCTATTATGAGAGGAAAGAAACGTAGTACTTAGAAATAGCTATAAAAGGAGATAAATTACATTTGTATGAGGGACACAAATTATTATTGGAATATACTGATTTATATTGCTTTATTTTGCTTACTCAGCTACTTCTCAATTCAATTCTTCTTTTTCATTACATAATTATTTCTTTATTTGATTATCAGTAACCCGAGTTCTTATAAAATTAAGCTTTGACCGAAATTCCTATTTTCTGGTTAAACAAATTGGTTTCGTTACCGAAAATCTGATAATCTTTTACTTTCTAAATTGACTCTTTTGTCAAAACAATCATGTCGAATGTCAACGACAACAACCAACAAAATTTAAAACACCAAGAAAATCAGCAACATCAGGAGAATCAACAAGGCGATGGAACTCCAGTTTCTTCACAACGAAACTCTCCTCGACAATCCCGAGAAGGGACTCCTGACGGATCTGAATCAAATATGAACGAGCAGTTTGAGAATGATCAAGGTATTGATGAAGCTTTGAAAAAATTAATTGCTCAACAGGTCAGTAATGCTCTTCGGGCTTTTGCTAACCAGTTGTCAGGTGTCGTACCACCAATACCAACTCCAAACAACAACACCGTGAAAAATCCTCGCTCAGGACTCGTTAACTCAGGCAGTGGAGGAACTCCTAGTGAATC